TTTCCACTCCGGAATTGGTAGTGGCTGTAGAACTCCTGGTGGCCTCTGATGATCAATCTTAACCATCTGACCAGTACTATACTGAGAAACAAAAAGAGTAATGTCCCTCTTCATACCTGCCCACCAAAACTGCCGCTTCATATCTTGATACATCTTATCACCTCCTGGATGAACAGAGAACTCAGAGTGGTGAGTCTCAGTCATCACATCCTTCCTCAAACCATCAGCAGAAGGTACCACTAACCGTCCCTTGTACCTTAAACCTCCTTCAGCCCCAACATAGTAGAATGGAACCTCTCCAGAAGCTATCTCTGCAACCTTGTCAATACACTGCTGATCCGTGAGTTGTGCTTGTAAAACCTTGCGAATGATGGAAGGTGTAACCACCATACAAGCCATAAAAGCGTCTGACAACTCATCTACATTCTTCAAAGCATTCCACTCAGTAGTGAATAGAGCAGAAAGACTACCAATAGGTCGGCGACTGAGTGCATCCGCCACTACATTCGCTTTCCCTGTATGGTACTGTATAGAAAAATGATAGTCTTTTACAAACTCCAACCATCTGCGTTGTCTCATATTCAGCTCCCGCTGAGTGAACAAGTACTGCAAACTCTTGTGATCACTGAATAATCTGAAGGACTCACCCAACAGATAATGCCTCCAAATACGCAAGGCAAAAACCACTGCTGCCAACTCCAAATCATGTGTTGGATAATTAAGCTCATGAGGCTTAAGTTTCCGAGATCTATAAGAAATCGGTCGCTCCTCCTGCATCAATACACATCCAAGACCCTGCAACGAAGCATCCGTATAAACAAGATACTCTATCCCGCTCTGCGGAGTAGCCAGAACCGGTGCAGAAGTCAGCTTCCTTTTCAGCTCATCAAAAACTCGCTGACAGTGTTCATCCCACACGAACTGTACACCCTTCTTGGTCAGATGAGTGAGTGGTCCTGCTATCTTGGAGAACCCCTGGATGAATCTCCTGTAATATCCTGCCAGACCGAGAAAACTCTGAATCTCAGTAGGTGATGTAGGCTGTCCCCACTCAACCACCGCTGAAACCTTGGCCAGATCCACTGCTATCCCCTTTTCTGACACCACATGACCCAGAAATTTCACCTCCCGCTGCCAAAATTCACACTTCTCAAACTTTGCATATAACTGGTGCTCATGAAGCGTCTGCAAGACTATGCGAAGATGTCTAGCATGATCATCCTCCGATCGAGAATAGATCAAGATGTCATCAATAAAGACAATAACAAACTGATCCAAATAAGCCCGGAAGACTCTATTCATTAGGTCTATAAACACTGCAGGTGCATTAGTCGTCCCAAACGGCATAACACGAAACTTATAAGAACTATATCTCGTGAGAAATGCTGTCTTAGGAACATCCTGCTCCCTGACCCTCAGCTGATGATACCCAGAACGCAGATCAATCTTGGAGAAGTATGTGGCTCCCCTTAACTGATCAAACAAGTCATCAATCCTGGGCAAAGGATACTTGTTACGAATCATAACCTTGTTCAACTCCCTGTAATCTATACACAGATGAAGCGAACCATCCTTCTTCTTCACAAATAGAACCGGTGCTCCCCAAGGTGATGTACTCCTACGAATAAAACCCTTTATTATTATTATTATTATTATTATTATTATTTTCAATGTTCAAATAAAAATTAGTTCATGAAGTAGCCTTAAAGATAGATATAAACCTTTAATTAACAATTTGAAAGTACGTTAAACAACTTTTAGGGGAAATAATGTTGTCAAATGCAAGAATAAGAATACAACATAATGAAAGGAAAAATAAATTGATACATGGCCAAATCCATGTTAGTAGTAATACGTTGGAAGTAGGGATGTACGGCAAAATACCCTGCCTTGTCAGGTACTCACCCCACCCCGTCTTGTTTAGAACGGTTATGGGGGTGGTTAAATAGTTTTGGAGTGGGGATGGGTTAGGATTGAAATCCCGCATGATTATTGTGATACCCCTCAACTCCAAGGCATGGGTTGATCAGGCCCAAGCCCAAACCCGAGGGAATACCAAAGAATTAATATTTAAATGAACACAAATGACAAAATAATTTAATGAATAAATAATAAAGCTAAAAGATTTCTAAATATTAAAACCTCATAATTAAATAATTATAATAATCCGACAATCCACAACCTTCAAAATAACAACTCGGGAATCTATCTAGTGGACCCCTAAATAAAATCCCAACTGGAAAATAAATTACTAAAAATAAAATCCAAATCTAAAACATAAGTAAGAATCCTACGTAGTCGGAAGAATGAGTGACTATCTCTACTCAGCACGATCAAGCTCTACGGCTGGAACTGTCGAACACCTGAGAAAAATGATAGTAGGTCAGGCCTACGAACAAGTTCTATTCTAACTACAATCCAAACAGAGACCCGATACACAGATACATCCTAGATATCTCAACAATAACTATCTAGTCCAATATATATATATATATATATATATATATATATATATATATATATATATATATATATATCTACACTAAAGGACTCTCACTGGACTACAAAGGGGGTATCAACCTGAATAGAAGGCAACATGCAAAATGCACCAGAGGTGGGCATGAGTAACTAAACCTAACAGGGTACACCTCAACCGTCATAGCCAGCTATGCATCCCAATGCATATACGCTCCCTAGCCATCGATTCTGAGACTTAAGCTCAAATCGTGATACCATAATCATATATTTAAAATCCATCCAGAACCAGATTATGTCATTCAATTGTTCATTGATCTAACATAAATAACAACAATCTAGTTAGTCACTCAACTTATTTAGTTGATCGGACTTAAACAGAAATAACAAATAATCCAGTTAGTCACTCAACTTACTCAATTGATCTGACTTAAATATAAGTAGGATTTAAATTTTATAATTCATTCCCTTATTCCAAAGTAGATAGGACTTAGCGTTTTGAGCTAAACCATCCCTAGTATGCCACCATCCCATACCGATGCACACAGCACATAACATCCATATAATTGATAGAGCATAATTTAACGGTTCATCAATTAACGTCCAGAACAACATCCATGTAATTGGCAATTTAAATAATTTGATTTAAACTTCAATTAATCCACAAAGCAGTCCAATAATTGACAAAGTAACAATCAATAGAGCGTCAATTAAAATCCAGGGAATGATATAATATAAATTAGATAACCAACTGAGCATATTATATTCAGTTATACTTAGCTGTAATCATACAAATCCAATTAACTTGCTAGAACAACAAGAAGTAAATAAATATTCTACATCCACTGACAGCATGCAAATAATTAATTAAATTTCATGATGTCCAGTAATATTAGCATACTAGCATATACTAACTATTTTAGGGTTTTAACAAGTTAATTTAAAACATTTAAAACCTCCCATTAATTTTTAGAATTCACAATTAAGCCCCTGGAATAAAAAAAAAAAAAAAAAAAAAAAAAAAAAAAAAAAAAAAAAAAACCCCGTAGGGGTGTTCCAGTAAGGGAGCCGGCTTCATTAAAATGTAGAGCCGGCTCCATTACAAAGGAGCCACCTCTTTTAGTGTGGAGCCACCTCCATTGAAGGGGGAGCCACGTCCACACCTCCCAGTCTCCATCTTCTCCGTCTCCGATAATTTTCTAACTTTCCGATTGCCCTTGTTAAGGTTCCTAACCCTCTGTTCTAAGTCCCAAGTAGTCCCAATTAATTATAGGAAGTAATTATGCATCACTTACATGAATCCAAATAAGTTTACATTCAAGGAAAATCAAGAATTAAATCAAAAACATATATTAATTATCCAACAATTTTAATTCGAATAAATACAATTTAACTCCATTCAATTCAAGCATGATTAAAAGATCAATTTTAATGTCCGTTAATATCCTGGAGACTACCTAGGCATGCACAGAACACAAGTCAAAGGGAAAGAGCAAGAAATAGAACTTGCTTATGAGACATTGAATAAAAATCTCGGCATCGTCTTCCTAAGTTTTCCGACGACTTCCGTTCATTGTTAACCTCCTACTACTCTGGTTTAAATCAATGAGCAACACTCCTTCCTTCTCTCTTTGATTCAGCCTTAGTCTCAGCCAAACCCAATTCTCCCTCTCTGTTTTCCTCTCAACCCTCTCTGTATAACGCGTCACCTCCACTGTTACGTGATTAGGGTTCTAAAACCCTTGGCAAACGTATACCCGTATATTTATAGGCCTCTAAGTCCAATTATAATCAGAGACGGAAACCAAACTAAATACTAGTCGGCCAATTTCATAAAAGAATAAAACCCTAATTTAGAGTTATTAAAAATTAATAATTAAATTAATCACCTAACCTAACTAAACAATTTATGGAAACAAATAAGTAAATTAAATTTTCCACATAAGCACACATCGAAGAAAACACATAATTAAATTAAATCATTAAACAATTATAACAAATAATGTAATTAAACAAAAACAATCAATTAAACAAAAAAACTCAATTAGATAAAAACAACAATTAAACATTTAGGCAAATAATCAAATAAAAATGAAACAAAACAATAATTAAAATGCCGAGATTATCCTTTTTAAAATTAGAGGTATTACAGTTATGGGGTGGGTTGGGAACTGTCACCCTGCCCTGTTTATATTATTAAATTACAATTGTGTCCTTGTACTTTATTTTATATTCAATAATATTCAGTATATATTAAGCAAATCTTAGTTTATTCTATTTCCAATCACTAAATATTCTTTTGTATTATTCTTATTTGAGAACTTCTATGTATTATTTTGATGTTCTTGCAACAATTTTAGTCTTAAGTTTCAATTGAGAAGTTGAATCTTGTTTTTATCGGCATAGGAGAAAAAAAATTATTATTTATTTTAGTTAGATTCATATTACAATTACGAAAATACTCTACAAAATTTGTTCCCTCCCCGAGCAGCCCACTCCATTTAATAAACGGTTTTGGAGTGGCAATGGGGATAGCTATTCTAAACGCGGATGGGGATGGGATGGTGTTCCCTGCCCCAAGCCTCCCCATTGCCATCCCTAGTTGCAAGGGCAGCGTTGCTTCCCGTGTTCGGGAGTTTGAGTTTGAAACTCACACTCTCTCCCTCTCTTCTAATCACTAGCCCTAACATTCTTACCATAAAAACAAAAAAAAATATATATATATATATAGTCAGTCATACATTGAACGGTGATACTTAACCAATACTCTTGGCGTGTCCCATTTATGTCTGAACATGTTCATAATTTAAAATAAATTCTTAATTTTGAATACATATTCCACGATTGAACCTTGATTATGGCATAATTTAGAAAAAGAAATAGAATAAGTATAATTGTATAAAACCCAAAAGTGAAGGTTTGTATAAAATAACCCATGAGCTCTTCTTGTTCATTATATTACAAGATTCTTTTGCAGGTGAAATTCCGCAAGAAATCAACAACCTTCTTATTTTGGAGTTATTAGCACTGGAAAATACCAACCTCATTGGTCTCATTCCATCTTCCATATTTAACATCACTTCTTTGAAAAACCTTAATCTTCTTGAAAATAACTTGACAGGTATAATCCTTTTATTCTGTTTAGAAGTTGTAATGAGCTTTATGCTATGTTTCGCACTGAATTGGTGCTTTGGATTTGAAATGGAAAAAATTTTAGTACAAAATTTGAATTAAATTGAACTAAACTTTACTCCAATTCCAAATCCAAGGCACCAAATCAGTACTCCCAAATATAATATATATTAGGTTTGTTAATTTGTTGTTCTTTTTGGCATGCATGCAGGTTTAATACCCCAGGAGATTGGTGACCTTCACAACTTGGAGGAATTATTTTTAAGTTTCAATGACCTAAAACGTCCCATTCCAGAAACGATCTTTAATATCTCAACACTACAAACCATTTCGCTCGTCTACAATCACCTTTCGGGAACCTTCCATCAAATATTGGCCACAGCCTACCCAATCTTCAAATACTTGCTCTTGGAGATAATAACCTCAATGGAATTCTCCCAGACTCTATCTCAAATGCTTCTCAACTCACTTCTCTAGACCTCAGATTGAATGCATTCACCGGCTCAATTCCCAACTCACTTGGTAATTTGGCACGACTTCAACATCTAGGCTTGGGAATGAACTATTTCGTCGGTGATTCTTCTTCGTCTACAGAATTGAGCTTCCTCGATTCTTTGACCAATTGCAGACACTTAAGAAGATTATGGGTTGATGAAAATCCCCTAAATGGTATCCTTCCAGCTTCCATCGCCAATCTCTCCAGTTCCCTTGAAAATATAGATGCGGGTTCATGTGGAATCAAGGGAAACATTCCTGATGGAATTGGTAATTTAAGCAATTTGATTTTCTTAAATCTTCCAGAAAATGACTTGAGTGGCCTTATTCCAACAACGATCAAAGGATTAAGGAAACTTCAGGTATTAAATCTTGGGGAAAACAGAATTCAAGGATTCACTCCAGAGGATCTCTGCAATTTACTAAACCTGGGTGCATTGCGCTTTAACAAAAATAATTTTTCTGGCTCCATACCGGCATGCTTAGGGAATATTACTTCCTTAATATATCTATATCTACATTCTAACATATTAACTTCTAGCATACCAACCTCCTTTTGGAGCCTCACAGATCTTTTGGTGTTGGACCTATCCTCAAATTCTTTAAGTGGCCGTTTGTCCCCAGAAATTGGAAACTTAAAGTCCGCGACAGTAATAGATCTATCAATGAATCAATTCTCAGGTGATATCCCAAGCACCATTGCAGGTCTGCAAATGTTGATTCATCTACCTTTGTCTCGTAATATTATACACGGGCCCATTCCTGAGTCATTTGGCAACTTGATAAATTTGGAATTCTTGGATCTGTCACAAAACAACCTCTCCGGTATGATCCCCAAGTCATTAGAGGCACTCTTGTATCTTAAATATTTCAATGCATCTTTTAATAGACTGAAGGGAGAAATTCCAACTGGAGGTGCTTTCGCAAACTTCACATATTAATCTTTTATGCCGAATGAAGCGTTGTGTGGTGCTCCTCAGTTCCAAGTCCGGCCATGTGACAATAGTTCCCCTCACAGATCAAACATAAAAAGAATGCCTCTAATATTTATATTTTTACCAATCACATCAATACTTCTTGTCTTAGCAATTCTATTTCTTTGCCTAAGAAGTCGATGGAGGGGAAATAAAATTCCAATTCAAACTGAATTGATACCCATAGTTACACGTGAAAGAATTTCATACCATGAACTTATGCGAGCAACAGATGGGTTTAGTGAAAGCAATTTGCTTGGCATGGGGAGTTTTGGTTCAGTTTATAAAGGGACACTTACAGATGGGAAGATTTTAGCTGTAAAGGTATTTAATCTGCAACAAGAAACTGCTTTTAAGAGTTTTGACACAGAATGCATAATATTGCGCAACATTCGCCACCGAAATCTCACCAAAGTCATTAGCAATTGCTCTAACTTTGATTTCAAGGCCTTGATACTAGAGTACATGCCTAATGGGAGTCTTGAAAAGTGGTTGTATTCACACAACTACTTCTTGGATATTTTGCAAAGATTAGACATAATGATAGATGTGATGTGTGCATTGGCCTATCTCCACCATGATTACTCAACGTGTGTGGTTCATTGTGACCTCAAACCCAACAATGTCCTTCTAGATCAAGATATGGTTGCACATGTCAGTGACTTCGGCATTGCAAAGTCCTTAGAAAAGGGGGAGAGCATTGCACTAACTAAGACTCTAGCCGCATTTGGATATATTGCACCAGGTAATTAAAGCTTTTAGTTTTTAATTTGTATGTGCATCTAAGTTTGAGATACTCTCTCATTAATTACAAAATTTAATATCAAGTTTCCATTGAACATTACTTTGCTCATCCATCTGCTAATTCCTCTTTTGAATTTTAATGTTGGATGTAGAATATGGATTGGAATGATTAGTATCCACAAGGTGTGATGTCTACAGTTACGGCATTATGTTGATGGAAACATTTACAAGAAAGAAGCCCGTTGATGAAATATTTACTGGAGGTATGAGCTTCAAGAGTTGGGTAAACCAATCGCTGCCCAATGCAATAATTCATGTCATAGATTCCAACTTGCTAAAGCCAGAGGAAGCACACTTCCCTGCAAAGCTGCAATGTTTATCGTCCCTCATGGAATTGGCCCAGAATTGCTCTGCCGAATCACCCCAAGAGAGGATCAACATGAAAGATGCTCTAGTAGCACTCAAGAAGATCAAACTTCAATTACTCACAAATTGCGAAGGGACTTAAATTATGAAATTAGTTTGTTCTTCTTAGATATTAATTTTTCTGTTTGTGATGTTTAAAGTTTTAACTTTCAGAAGGCATCCAAATCCAAATGGTCGTGAGTAACAAATGTCTAGTCGTTCAAATTATCCTGAATTGAGGATGAGTAAAAATTTTAGACTTTTAGTCATTGTTTAATGTGCTAATGAAGTGATTTATTTTAATTGCTTTGCAGGACTCCAGCAGGTGCGAGCCCTTTTAGTGACTCTGTTCCATTATTATAGAATCCTGCTGCGAAAGCATTTGCTTTCAAGACCGGTAATCAAGGTGGACTGATCTATATTCTGTTATAGATCAAGGTCGTCTTCAAAAGATTCAAGACGAAACACATATAACCTGTCTTTTTTTTTTTTCTTTTTTTTTTATTCGTTCTATTCTTCTTCTTTAGCAACCATTTAAATATGGTGTTTTGTTTCAATTGCTTAATGCTGTATTTAGATCCATTTACAGAGTGTTACCATTATGCAGTTATGTCTCTTCGTGCAATACGTGGCCTGCTGCATACATAATGTTTCATGCTTGTATGTGATGTTCTAAGCAGTATTTAGATCCATTTGCAGAGTCCATTGTGTTTTTACTCGTCATTTAGAACCCAGACATAGCATTGGTAAGAGGATTAATTACTCATCAATATGAGAGAAATTCTCTTGATTTTAGCCTGAGTTTTGTAGGATCCAAGTCTAATACAAAGTATAGTTATATACTATTAATGTACGGACAAACTTACGGTATAAGTATTACTTTATGGACAATATATACTTACCTACTCATGGATGAGTAGGTGATCTCATAAATTCACACAATATTGTATGCAATTACAAAAGGTTTGCGAGCACTAAACACCTCTATAGTATGCATGTAGGGTATATAACACCTATAGGTTCTTAAAATTCTCTAACCTTTACTTTTGGTGCAAACAAGGACCTGTTGTCAGTGGAGCGATTGAAAAACTGAAGTTCCCTTAAAAAATAAATAAATAAATAAATAAATAAATAAAAAGAGGTGAAAAACTAAGTAAATGCAAAATGACTAAAATGTCTAACCCTAAATATAAAGGATAGGAGTGTTGTTTGCCCAAAATGTAAACTTTGGGGTGTTTTTGTGTTTCTCTGACTGGTGTTATGTGTGTGTGTGTGTATATATATAGAGAGAGAGAGAGAGGGGGAGAAACTTACAATGGAATGGATCGGAGAGAGATCCGTGGAGAAAGAGAGAATTTAGAAATAGAGAGAGAAAGAGGGACATGGGTTTGAAAAAAGAGGGGGAAATGTAATATATATAATGGTATAAGGGATATTTTGGGGAGAGCAAAAAGGTATTTTAGGAATTTTATAACTTAAAATAGCCATGTGCCACGCCCATGACTTCTTAAAGATCATTTTCTAGCAAAATATAGACATTAAACCCTTCTTTGCCACATTTTTCAAACTTAATAGACTTATATATTCAAATTAAAATATATGGGTGTTATTTGCTCAAAATGTAAGCATTAATGGTGTTTTTCTCACTTTGCCCATTACAAAATTAAGAAATCGATAAAAAAAGTTAAATAACTTTTTGAGGACTTTATCACTTATTCTCTCTAGTTTTCTTATTTATCACTTTCCTAATTTTGTAATGTAATTATAGACTATGTATTCACATGTAATTGGACTACATCAACAGTAGTAGAAATCACCTACCATTGCTGAGTAGGTAAGTATTGTTCTCACTGTATTAGAGTATTAACAAATGGACAATATTTAAGTAGCATCTTAATTACAATAGTAAATAGCACACGTATGTTAGAAAAATAAACTAATATAAAACATGTCATCATAAGAGCATTTTCGTTGAAGTCACGCTTATTGTCATCGACCGATAAGACTATTAGTCTCATGGTCAATGACAAAAGAGATAATGAATAATGTGGAGCTTGATAAATATGGTACACTAAGACCTAATTTTGCGATGGCATTGAAGTTAAAGTTAAGGGTATTTTGATAAATTTTATACTAGTTATGGTGTCGAAGTGCATGAGTATTTATTTTATTATAAATTCTTTGTATTATGTGCTAATTTTTTATTTTTTATTTTTTGTGAAATTCCTAAAATTCGTGAACATAGCCTAATTCTTAGATGAACTATACTAAATCTATATGTTCTGATGCTTGGATTTTTTTAATTTATAAGTGATATTCATATTACTAATATGCATATATAATTTCCCTTTTGGCATACTTGGATCATGACCTGGTCAATATTTACAATATCAGTTTTTATGGACGAATATTATTAAACAGCTGTCTACACCTTAAAGAATATACCTACCATTGACAATTAGAAAGCAAACAGCTGTATACATCTTAAAAGAATTTAACATTGACTTCACATCCATTTCCTTACCTCATCATTAATTTGCATCACAATTAGAGGAGTCGCTTGACACATCTCGAATTTTTTATTTTTTATTTTTTATCATCACATCTCGAATGTTATGTGCCAATCATTAAAAAGACAAAAATGTCCTTTAGATAAAATATTTTAGGTTTAATTTGTCTTTTTTTTTGCTGGAAAATGGAGGCAAACAAAGTGAACATCCAAGATATCTAAATTTGGACTCCAACAGATTAAATTCCAGCATTCCTGAAACCATTTGGAGTCTTAAAGATCTTTTGCACTTCAACTTGTCCTCTAATTTTTTTAGTGGAAATATTTCCCAAGGGATTGGAAGTTTAAAGGTAGCAACAATACTTCATCTATCAATGAATCACTTCACATGTGATATTCCTAGTACAATTGGTGGTTTGCAAGACTTAATTAGTCTTTCTTTTTCACATAATAGTTTGCAAGGATCAATTCCTGAATCATTTGGAAACATGGTGGCTTTGGAATCCTTGGATCTATGCCAAAACAATCTATCAGGTCCAATTTCTTCTCAAAAACTAATTCACAACAATTATTCAAATAATTTTACACATGCGCCCTCCATTTACATGATAGTTGTCAAAGTCCAAACAAATCCAGTTTGCCACTTTTTCACCTACGTCTAACACATGATAATTTAACACATGCCGATTTACATGATATTTTAATACTACTTTTGTCCCCAAAAAAATATTTCTTTTAAAAAACTGTAACAAAAAAGAATATTTCTTTTAAAAAATTGTGACGGATAGTATATCTTTCAAGAAACTAAGAATAAAAATTCTCACCGGAGAACTTTTGCAAACTTCATGAATCAATTATTTTTGTCAAATGAAACGTTGTGCGGTGTCCCTCAGCTCCTCCAAAGTCTTGAGCTTACGTTCATTTGAGGTCTTGCCATGCCATACTAGTTATATTCCAAATCAAGGGTAAAAGATTAACGTGGTCCCACAATTTATAATAATTTTACAATGAGTGTTAGCTGACTGTTACTCTACCCGTGTGATTTGTTTACACATGTTGTCACTTTTTTCAATTTTGTTTACTTTTTCTCACAATTTTTTATGTTAATATTATTATTCTTTTATTCTTTGTAAAATACTTTTTCTGTCTCAAAATAAATATCTTATTTTAAAAACTATGATGTAATTATTTTTAAAATAGAAAACTTATTTTGAGAAAGAAAATGTATTATAATTAGTGTCAATTGTAAAAGTGAGAATAATCTCGTTTTTGTAAAATATTTTCACTTCTCACTTCAATTGAGAATCAGCATAAAAACACTGTACTCGTACTTGGTATCAGTAATTACAATGAATTGTCTTGAGCTTCAAAAGTCACTATCAATTTCTCCCTCCATTAATATCAATGTCAAGCCAATGAAAGTTTTCGCTGATGTCATTGCAAGGTAAGCATGAAATACCATAAATGTCTTTATAAAAGGTACTAGGGCATAAAGACCTTTACATTTTTATTCAAAATTACTTAATACCCTCCTATCAAATCTTACATTTACATTTTGTCAAATTATAATCGAGAGAACATTTAACTTTTATTACTTTCATTTCTCATAAAATTTGACACGTGCACATTAACCCCGTACCGTTAAATGATTATTAGGATTGTTAAGGAAAATCCACAGAATCACCAAACTACCCTTTCTTTGTTTGAAAACACATCCATGGCCTTATAAGGTACAGTCAAATTATAGAACTACCCTTATAATGTTAAAAAAAACTGTACTAAACTCCCACTCTCCGATTTTCCCTCACTAAAATTCTTAGTCCTTTCTTACTTCTTTTTCTTCACTTCAAAAACCTACCGCAATATATATATATATATATATATATATATATATTCATATGTGTGTATAAAACAGTTATTGTAACGACCCAAAAGATACCAAAATAATAATAATAAAATATATAAAATTTCGGTATGACCTCCGCAGAAAAAGTCCCTCTACAACCTGTTAAAAAAAAAAAAAAAAAAAATGCAATGGCCTCACTGAGCCTTAAAAATAACCTATCATGTCCCAACGCATAATAAAGATATTATACCACATTTCCAAAATGACTACATATATACAAAAAGTCATGTTCTTCCTTCTCATCCAAACAAGGAACACACTTAGGTTACATCAAGTTATAGTCCATAAAATGTAATTAGAATTTAAAAGTCCATAGCTTACATCCTTGTACCAATTAAACTAAAGTTTTACAAAATAGTTAATTTTACATTTACAAAATATTAGCTAGAGTTCTAGTACAAAGGTTAGCAAAAATAAAATAGATCCCCAAGCTCGTCTAAACTTGTAGTGGATCGTCATCCGCTACCTCTCTTCCATGTCCTGAAAAAAAAAATGTTAAAAAAATAATGGGGTGAGAATAAACTCAGTAGGAAGTGTCTAAGACACACTTCTTATATCTCTGTGAATTCCACACAAGGAATAGATAAAAGGGACGAGGTCATACCAATAACAACAAGCATAGTATAAATAACATCCAATCACAAATTTCCCACATGTACCATGAAGTGCAATGTCATGCCTATGCCAC